GATACATTAAGAAGAAAGTTCAAAAATTGTCATAGATGGTTTATTCTTTACGCGCGCTCTGTTCAAAGTTTGTCCATTTTCACTCCTCTTGAGCGTCTCTTGCTTGGGTTTCGGTCGAACCTCTTCTGTGGCCGTTTTCTCGAAAATAAAATAATATTTTCGAAAACTAACTACCCAGGGATTCATATCTAACTTCAAAAGAACAGCGAACTTGATTTTTTGACCCTTGCCACCATTTGTTCGATTCTTGTGGACATTGCGTCTTAAACATTTGTCACATAATTAACTTTACAGTGCGGGCAAGCCTGACCGGGGTAGGGTATTGTCTATGTTTTTCTATCCAAAGAAAATCAAATAATATGTTGAACACTTCTGATAATTCGGCATTAAATATGAAACAAAACTGAATTAAAAGATTTGATGGCCAAAACATATTTTTCTAAAATCTTCAAGGCTCCGAAAAAACAGTTAGTAAAAATTATAAGGAACCCTTCCCTGTTACAGTTTCTTGTCAGTTTCGTTCATGGGTATGTAGCGCATGGTAAAAACATTTGGTATGGACTATGCATAAATTCTTATAACATTTTTAAAGGAAATATTGAAGATAAAACAATCGAAATTTTGTGCTGTTATCATACTGTTGCTTCACGTTTCTTGTACCTTTTTATCAGTCTTCCTCCTCATCATGTTCCACGGGTTCTTTTCCCCTTGTAGGCCTCTCTTCTCTCCTGTCAGCCTCTAAACGGTTCACGTGAATCAAGTATAAAATGCAGACGATCATCTCAATTATCTCGTGCATTCCTTCTACTAAGTCCATGATGTATGGAAAATAAATTGATTTCGAAAAGAAGTTTAGAAGGTGAATCGTCAAAACTAAGCTTAAGAGTAAAATATAAATCGCTGTCAACTCTATATATATATTAACGCGTGTCTCAACCAATGACTGATTGCCTACGTCCTACGTCACAATATTTTTTCTCTCTTACTGACTAGACTAGGAACTACGTCCCCACTGGGCGGGCACTGGCAGGCAGGTTGAATTCAGAGAGTGACAAGTAAGCGACATCAGTAAGCGACACACATGATTGCTGATGCGTGTAATCTTCAACCAATGGGAACATCACTTTCGGGCAGTACTGTCTATTCACATCGTAGTAGAAACAGAACACACCGCCAGACTTTTATCGAAGAGTATTGATGCTACTACATCACAGCACTGGACACAATGACTGATCAGTTGACCATTAAAAAATTCTTTAAAATTAGTGAAAAGGAATTGCAAAAATCTCCAAGTAGTAGATAAATAAAAGGATACTTGTCTTTGTCGAGAAGGTTTGCGAAAGGTAAAGTGAAATGTAGGGAACGAAGAAAAACGAGAATCTGATATTCTTTTGTTTATCTACTACTTGGAGATTTTTGCGATTCCTTTTCACTAATTTTAAAGAATTTTTTAATGGTCAACTGACGTTTCACGTTTGCCTTAACAAGAATCTTAAACTCAGTCTCTATTATTTATCAGCTTCCAKGTGAGCTTGTTTTGTGTACAGTAAAATGGCACCCATTTATTATTATTACTATTACTATTATTATTTCAGATTGAAAGTGAAGTGCTGCGGATTGATTCGTCCTTTGTATTGTATTTCCTTCATATTGTGTTATGGGAGAGTCAATATAGCAAGATGGTATTGGAAAGGGAAATTCTTTTAACTTGTTTCCATGGAATCAAGTTATAAACAGCAAGAATATACAGTCCTTTGACAAAACGTTGTCGTTGATCGGATCATCCCTACGCGCCTAGACCGAAAAGGATAACGGGTAAATTAACATGAATAATTAATTGTTCTCTATCAGTCGGTGACAATAGCACAATGGAGAGCAAAATGCACGTTTGTCTTCGCGTATTACGCAAGGAAAACAAGAGCACAGCTTCACATCATATTCCATCAAGGATGTCCCAAATATCGACAACGTGCAGGCGCTAAAAGATTATCTGCTTGAGCGCTGTTCAGACGAGTTATCGCCGGCTAAAGATAGTAGCTTCGAAATAGGTTACTTTGGGGATGAGAGCCAAAAATTTARTATTTCCAGTCCAGTACAACTTGCCCAAGACGTGTTAGATAACATATGCGGCAGCTAGTAACTGTGAATTAATTATCCCCATGATCCTATTTGGTCTAGGCGCGTAGGGATGAAGCCGATCAAACGACAACGTTTAGTCAAAGGACTGTAAGTTTATGTCATATCTTCAATAGTAAAATGTTTATATAACAATAAGTGAAATTATAATTGGAATAAA